ATATATACTGTATACTGTATGTACATTACTGCACATCCAGCGGGCTGTATATATACTGTATACTGTATGTACATTACTGCACATCCAGCGGGCTGTATATATACTGTATACTGTATGTACATTACTGCACATCCAGCGGGCTGTATATATACTGTATACTGTATGTACATTACTGCACATCCAGCGGGCTGTATATATACTGTATGTACATTACCGCACATCCAGCGGGCTGTATATATACTGTATACTGTATGTAGCCCAAGCTACCATATTACTGCACATCCAGCAGGCTGTATATATACTGTATACTGTATGTAGCCGAAGCTACCGTATTACCGCACATCCAGCGGGAACCATCTGATTTGGAATTTGATCCATATGATGACTGTCTTACAAATGTATCACAAGATGTCATTCATGAACATATGATGTCAGAGGATGAACATGAGGATTTTGAAGGATTTTAAGTACCGGTAAGTCATAACCATTTCAATTAAAAAATCTGATGTTTTTAAATGGTGTTGCCTCGGCAGGGGGGTAGTCTTATATGGCGAGTATTGCCCAAAACCTATGTTTTAACTGGAAAATTAGGGGGTCGTCTTATACACCCAGTCGCCTTATACGCCGGAAAATATGGTAAGTAATTTGGAAGCGGTTTTGTACTATATGTATTATCTATTATAGCGCTACATCACTGTTACATTAATTATATCCATGTATCCATCTAAAGGTGAGGATTGGATGTTAGCAGCTGTTTCATTAACCCTAAGTAGGTATAGCAGCGCAGGAGGATTCACTATTTATTTTAAAGCCTGTAATTTCACCTCGTTGCTACAGAAAACTATTTTCGTGGCCAAGAATGTTCTTTTCTTTCCAGGTTTCCTTTTCGATTACATTTCTCGCACGATACTTCCATCATTGATTAGAAATGTGTTTGTTTTTCAAAACATTTTCAACATGCCTGATCTCTCAAATTTGATGGTCACTTGAAAATTGGCCGTTGCTGTGGCCCACTAATGATGTGAAATTCGAACGAAAATTCTTGGAAAATGTGGAATTCGACCCACGTGTGGCCAACTTTACTAGCATCTGGACTGGATGAGGCCCCACCTATCAGGGCATTGCTGCTTAACTCATTAGGTTCAAAAAGCTGTAGAATTTCCTCAACTTTGGGAGCAAATTCTTCATACACAGCTACAGTACAAGCCCTGGAACAATATTTAAACCAATCTCAAATGCTTTAGTGGTCAGAGATCATTTTCGCAGATGCTGTCAGGGTGAGGGAGAATCTATTCACCTCTATGTTGCCGAGCAGAAGCAGTTAGCAGCACCCTGCAGATTCAAACCCCTACACGATGTTGCATCTAGCCCTACCACACAGCCACATTTGGGAAGCCTGGACAAAAACTCCCACTCTCACAAACTGGAGAGTGGAATTCTGCAGAGTTCAGAACACACCAGAACCTTACCCAGGCACTTGGATGACTATGTACTTTAACCAATTGCAGACTCTGGTCATGTTATGGCATCAATATACACAGGGCGTGTGTAACACATCCAGTCCTTCTGCCCTGCTTTCAGGACCTCTCCTGTTCCAGTACTCAACAATTCAGCACTGATTAATCAAAGGGGCATTGCTGAGTACACAGAGAAAGTTCTGACAGCTGGAGTTGTGAGCCTGGGTTCACATATATGTGCGGTGCGGTATATCGCATGTGATTCACACAGGAACCGCACCGCATTCCTGTGCAAATCACATGCGATTTGTGTGCGGCGCTATTGAAGCCATACATTTTGTATGGCTCTAATCTTGCCGCGCCCGCACCAAAAAGGTGCAGGACCCTTTTTTGGTCCGCAATAGAATTGGTTCGCATAGGTATTCACACCTATGCGATCCGATTCTGCACATCGCACTGTGTTTTGTGGACCATTTTCGGAGTGTTGTTAACATACTTAAGCGCAGATAACGCTGCAAATTCTGCACCACATCAGTGTGAACCAGGGCTCAAAGAAAAGCAGTCTGGCAATGTTTATCAACAACATTGCTCAAAAGTAACTGTGTTTCATTTTGTATCTGCCTATTCACCTACAGATCAAAGGGATATGTAAATGAAGTCAGCTAAATCAACTTGACAAGTAAAAAATAGTTTTTCCTTTTTTAATTAAATGTTTCTCTGTGTAACCGCTTATTAATCCTTAGTTTACTCCAATCAGCCCTAATATATGTAGGCCATAGACGGGTCGAAAATCGACTGATTTTTCGTCCGAAAAAAAATCGGCCAATTTTTCGCACCGTTAGTAGGTTAATTGGTCGGCCGTTTTTTGGGGTTTTGGCACATTTTTTTTTATCGATCAAGTTGGAAAATTTGCGGCCAATTTTGACGATTGCCCGATTTTCCCGGCAATGATGGGCAAATCGGTCGATTGTTTTACCGATAAAAAATCTTTGCATGAGCCGTGACCTGCAAGAAAGAAGAAGAGAAGAAAAGAAGAAGAAAAAGAAGAAGAAAAGAAGAAGAACCACCGATTTTTCATTTTATTTATAAAAAAACGGCCGGTTTTCGACCTGCCTATGGCCTGCATATCTCCTTATTCTCTTTCTCCATTCAATTATTATTTTCCTGCTGATTATTTTTGTTAGTTTCAATTTTATTAACTAATAATATTTACTTTTTTTTTTTGGTTGTTTTGTTCGTTAATATTTTTACACCTTCAACATTTGTTTACAAATTTTTACAAAGTGCAAAATCGAAAATAACCCACAATATTTCATTTGTAAATAACTTTGCAATGCTTTGTACCAGAATCATGATTTTAGTATCATTTTAACCACAGTCATGCAATGTTGCACCCAAATTCTTTTTTTTTGCGCTATAAACAAAAAAAAAAAAAGACCAATAATTTTGCATAAAAAAAAATATATATTTTTCACTTTTTGCTATTAAACATGCCCAGTAAAAAAATAAAAAAAAAAATCAAATTTGGCCAAAATGTATTCTGCTATGTACACGTCTTTGCTATAAAAAAAATCCCAATATGTGTAAATGAATTGGCTTACGTGAAAGTTATAGCATTTACAAACAGTGGTGTATATATACTGGAATTTTTTTTTTCTTTTACTAGTAATGGCAGCAATCAGCGACTTTTAGTAGGACTGGGGAGGGCATTCTGACACTGGGAGGAACTGACTTGGTGTCACTGACATCCCCAGTGACACCAATACAGAGATCAGTGTTAATAAAAAGCACTGACACTGTACTAATGACACTGGGCAGGAAGGGGTTGACATGTGGTGCAATCAAAGGGTTAACTGTGTGCTGTTTCACTGTGTGCTGGGTGTGTGCTTTGCTTTACACTGTAAGCACATTGCTTTGTATGACTCTGCTATGCACGGCCATACAAAGCAGTGTGCAGGAGCTGACAAGGGAGAGATCTATGTTGTGTATACACTGGTCTCTCTCCCGTTGGTAATACTTGGAGATCGCTGGGTGCTGGCGGGGAATCACCGGCAGGGACCCAGTGATTGACAGCTGAGGCCACGAATGGCGGCGCAGGTGGGTGGGGCACGTGCCCCCTACCCGGAACTGCAAAATCACATATATATATATATATACACACACGTGATTTTGTACACCTGTAAATACAGGCACAGGATCTAGCTGGATCTTCTCTCCCTGGAACCATTTGTTCCAGGGAGAGAAGAAAGAGACATTACATGTGAGTAAAAGCAGCACACTGCACCCACACACGTTAGAGACATTTAACCCCTTGATTACCACATTTAACCCTTTGATTGCCCCTTTTCATCCTGCCAGTGCCATTAGTACAGTGCCAATGTACAGTATTTTTCACTGATCACTGTGTTACTGCCTCTAACGATGCCAGATAGCGTCAGGGTCAGTTAGCGCCCCTCCCAGCCAGGGACAGCTAGCGTTAGATTGCCAGCACACTATCACACTCACACTAGTTCACTGATCACCGCCATTACTAGTATAGTGTTTGTACAGATGAATATATTGATGACAAACAGAACTATACCAGTGCCCCTTTATTATTAGTGTCTCTAAAAACCCAGTATTTGCAGGATCAGCCCTGTTCGCTGCCAGCACTTGCATTTAGCCCCCCCCCCCCCCCCCAACAAGAAGTGCAGTGTCAGTCCAATTTCTGATCACTGTCACGTGTGATATGGTGCACACAAAACCACAGCATTAGCAGAATCAGGCCTTGTCTCTGCTAGCACTAGCAGGTGAATTTTATTGATAACGGTCCAAGTAGTCCCTGATAGCCAGGTGCTCTTTTTCCCATGAGTCGCTTTAGGTACCTGTATATTTAGAGCCCAAAAGAGGTACACTAGTGAAGAGGCCTGCAGGATTCTGAGCATATCAGATAAGAGTGAAGGGAAAACCTCTCTGACAGAATCTGCCCCAGAATACAAACCTGTAGAAAGCAGCGGCATGCTGACAGGTAGCTCTGGCAATGGAGAAGAGGTCCCTGTTAAGATCAGGCATAGCGGACTCCATGTAGCTGAAGTGCTAGGAATGCATGACTTAAATACAGGTTAGTCAAATTTTGTTTATACTATCTTTATTCAGTTTTGTGTTTGTTCTGACACTCATTTTCTCTGTTTAGTATCCTATGTGGCCTGCACTGCCACTATAAAGAAAATAAGTATCTGTATAATATAATTCATTCCTGTTTAACAAAATAAATTCAGAATACAAGTGACCAACATGTGTGTTCTGTCTCCTCTTTATCCACTTGCCTACCGGGCACTTTTACCCCCTTCCTGCAAGGCCAATTTTCAGCTTTCTGCATTGTCGCACTTTGAATGATAATTTCGTGGTCATGCAACATACTCATATCACATTGTTATAATTTTTTTGAGACAGATAGAGCTTTCTTTTGGTGGTATTTAATTACCTCTGGGGTTTTTTTTTTGCTAAACAAACCAGAAACAACTGAAAAATTTGAAAAAAAAAAAAAAATTTTCTTAGTTTCTGTTATAAAATTTTGTAAATAAGTGATTTTTCTCCTTCACTTATGTGCGCTAATGAGGCTGCAGTGATGGGCACTGATAGGCTGCACTGATGGGCACTGATAAGCAGCACTGATGAGGCACTGGTAGGTGACACTGATGGGCATTGACAGGCATTACTGATGGGCACTGAAAGTCAGCACTCATATATGGCACTGATAGGTGGCACTGACTGGCACTGATAGGCGGAACTGACTGGCACTGAGAGGTGGCACTGATTGGAAGCACTGATAGGCTGCACTGACTGGCACTGATAGTTGGCACTGAAAGGCAGCTTTGATGGGCACTGATATGTGGCATTGATGTGCACTGGTAGGCACTGATATGTGGTATTGATGTGGCTCTGATGGGCAGTGGCAGGTGGCATTGATGGACACTGACAGGTGGTACTGATGGGGCTACACTGATCATAAGGGCACTAATCATCAGTGCCCTGATGATCAGTGCAGATGTCCCCTCTGAGGAATGCTGATAACGGGCTCTCCTCAGAAGCTGTCAGCGTGACAGCTCGTGAGGAAAGGAATGTCGATAACCAGCATTTCCTTATTTACATGTGATTGGACACAGCTGTTCATATGACAGAGCCGACGTCATCGGCTCTTTCCGCTGATCGGTGATCCACTGTGTCCCAGGGACACAGCACACCAACGATCGCCGCGTCATATGACGTCCTCCCATGCGCAGTTAGAGTGGGAGGACGTCATATGACATCCTCCCAGAATGAGAGAACCACCGCCAGTCATTTCGTTATATGGCGGGCGAGAGGCAGTTAAGTACAGATAATGCAGGCTGCATCTTTGTCATATCTCACACTCAGATGCTAATAACCTGGGATGCCAACAAAGCTAGTGCAAACCACATAAGTGGTGTGCTGGTTTTTGTTTACCTGTCTGGACTCCTCTTTTACAACAGTTCTATTTGTAATTTTGCAGGTCTGCAGATTCATTCCTGACAGGTCATAAATGATGTATAAACAGGTGACCATCAATGATTTACTGTATATATATAAATTCTGTTCGTGATCCAATTTCTGCAGTAATACTTATCAGCCTTCAGCATTTTATGTAATTATTCACCTTCATAGATCATTTATTTCATCTTGTTCAGTTAAAAACTTATAAACATACAATTATCACTAACCTGGAGGTGCCTTTGTTTGCCATTTAACAACTTTCAACTACATTTTTCCAAATCAAAAACAGGTTCTATTTCAGAAAAGATTAAACCCAGTCCACAATTATTATATATTTACTGCCAGCTCACTTTAACTACGAGAAATTGCGCAAATCTCATGCTTTAGTGGAGGGGTTGTGAAGCCAACAGCCCCTGTGAGGTCCAGTTTCGCTCCAGGTGGAGCCCGAAAGGTGAAGTTTTGCAGCAGCGTTGTAAAGAAGAGGAACAGTTCCATTTTAGCTAGAGTCTCTCCAGCACAACTTCTCTTACCTGAAAAAAAAGTATAACACTGTTATTAAAATAATGACTAAGGAAGAATGTTGGCTTTTACAGTTGTATGATAGATATCTGTCTATCTCTGTGTCCCTCTAGGTCCCATTGGGGCACATGTAGATTGCTTAGCAAACCCTGCATAAACAATCTCCTTACCATTTGCAATGTAATTGCATTGTGGGGGTCTGCATGTCACTTTGTTAGAACCCAATGTGGTCTTAGCCAATATTCATGGAGCATTTTTTGTCACCACAGATTTTTGTGGTTGCACAATTTCCAACACTTTGTACAACCTAATGTGTAGTACATACAACTGGTAGAACGCTCTCTTTTATTTCATACTGGCCACAGACAAGCAGATGTGAGGGTGAGTTAAAAGGAATACCCAACAAAATAGAAACAGTCTTACCTGTGACAAGCATTGAGACTAAAACTTTAAGAGGGCATAGGAGAATTATGTTGGGTGGCAGGGGCATCTCACAACTGGAATATTCAAGATCCATGGTATGATAAAATATCACTTTTGGTTAGACTGACCCATTATACAGTGAAGGAAATAAGTATTTGATCCTGTGCTGATTTTGAATGTTTGCCCACTCACAAAGAAATGATCAGTCTAAAAATCGAACAGTAGGTGTATTGTAACACTGAGAGACAGAATAGCAACACAGAATTCAAAACAAATGTTTGTCTAACAAATTATGCACTGATTTGCATGTTCATGAGGGAAATAAGTATTTTATCCCCTTCACAAAACATGACAATCTTGTCCCTGACATCTTTGGACAGCTCTTTGGTCTTTGCCATGGTGGAGAGTTTGGAATCTGATTGTTTGATTGCTCCTGTGGACAGGTGTCTTTTATACTGTACAGGTAACAACATGAGATTAGCAGCACTCCCTTTAAGAGACTGCTTCTAATCTCAGCTTGTTACCTGTATGAAAGACACCTGGTAGCCAGAAATCCTGCTGAATGATGGGGGATCAAATACTTATTTCCCTCATGAACATGCAAATCAGTGCATAATCTGTTAGACATGCATTTCTTTTGAATATTGTGTTGCTATTCTGTCTCTCAGTGTTACAATACACTTACCATTCAATTTTCAGACTGATCATTCTTTGTGAGTGGGCAAACATTCAAAATCAACAAGGGATCAAATACTTATTTCCTTCACTATATATTGGCCTATACATTGGTTATCGTTCTATATCACAAAACTGGGCAGTATGGAATGACTAAGAGCCGGTTCACATATATGCGGATTAGATGCAGTTTGACATGTGAAAAAACATTGCTTCCTATGGTGCCTGTTCACATACATCCAATGCACTGGCAGTGCAGAGTCAGTGCAGATTGAAAAAAAGTATTGTTTGATTTCTGAGCAGTGCAGTCCGTTTTAGGTGTGGATTACTGGCTATTGACTTCTATAGGAACCACTTCTGAATCGCACATTCCATGCATTTGTGAATAGAGTTTCAGGCTTGTTTTCTTTCCTGATCCTGATGTAAACCTGACCTGATCCTGATGCAAACCTGACCTGATCCTGACCTGAGCCACTGAACAACTGTCAATTAGCTGTGAAAATGGAGCTTCAATTTTCACCGCACATGTGCGAAGCCACACTAAGGTGTTCATTTATGAAACTGAGATTAGCAGCGGCGATCCTGAGGATTGCTACTGATCTAAGTACATTAGTGGTTTATGAAACAGAGAAGATCAGCAAAGAACATGTTCTCTGCTGATCTTCTCTGCACACAGAGGATCTGCAATCGACAGACATAGAAACGGCTAGTTTATGAAGGAGAGATGTCAGCCCTTCACTGGCGATCTGTGTAAAAATTCTCCCTCTTAGATTCTCCAGCCCAGAGGTGGAGAATCGGGGAGAGAAGGGAGAATCGCTGGAGTTCTAAGGAGGAGGGAGGAAGTTTTTGGACTTTCTTCGTCCTTCAGAGCCTCCAAGACAGTGGGAAAGCCCCCCTGCCTTTCACAACACCCCCAAAATCCTAGAGCAGTTCATAAAAATATCTGTGTGTGTGTGTGTATGTATATATATATATATATATATATATATACACACACAAACACACACATAATACATATACTGTATGTTGAAATGCGTTTTTATTACAAAATATATGAAAAATATTTTTAAAAATACATTTCAAATATACTGTATACTGTATGTCTTTAAAAATACAAATCTACATTTTTGGAATGCATTTACAACTATATGTAAAAATTTATGTTAAAATTACTTTTCTATATGTTAAAAAAATCAGAAAAATATATTTATAAAAATATTTTTCAGATATTTTGTAATATATAGAAAATGCATATATATATATATATATATATATATATATATATATATATATATTTTATATTTTGAAATATATTGAATATGACCAGAATTGCAGCTTTTCAAATATATGTCAATATATTTGGGAATAATATTTTTTAAATATATTTCAAATATATTTTTTGTCCATGTGGGTATATATATATATATATATATATATATATATACACACTGAGGAGAACTGCCACCTCAGCAGAGGTAGTTTACCATTGCTTAATAAACTGACAGCTCTGTGTTTTACTGATCTCTTGTTACTGTAATCTCGCTAGATCCCGTGAGATAACAGCAGCAACAGCTGTTTTCCAGCGTTCAAAGCTTTTTTAGATCTAGATCGTTCTTTCCTCTTCAGGAGAAGCGATCTGCACTGCTTCATAAACAGGCACTCAGAGGAAATCTGTCTCCCCTGAGAATGGCAGAGAACATAGCGGTCATTTACCACTGCTTGATAAAAATACACCTTAGTGTGGCACCATTTGTAATTTTGCATTGGTGACTTGATCTATCCCTGTTTTGATCACAGCCACAGAGGAACCCTTGATATATTTGTGGCCTCTAGTGTTTCCTTCCTTTGGTTTACTCACCTGCAGAAAATGGTATAAATGCTTCATTGTTAACAAGGTTCCCCTCTGAGTCCAGAAAATGCTGAGGGTAAAACTCATCTGGCTTCTCAAAGTGCTCTTTGTCTCGTAGAACAGAATACAGTAATGGAATCACTTGAGTCCCCTGCAAAGAATATAGGAGAGAAACTATTTGGACGGATCATACGTAACAATTGTTATTTGTTGATGGATGGATCTGTTCAAGGTGCACAGTGGTCAAAATCAAAAACTAAGGACTGAAGTGCATTCAGAAATCACAGACTACCAACTCAGTACTTGAATATTTATATCCAGACCTTGCTTTATTGGGGAGTGAGAGAGGCCCAGTTGCACACAGTGCAATGTTCATTTCTCCAAAATTCACAAATCTGCAACAAAACAGTTAGATTTTTACCTGATGTCTGTGCTGCAGAAATTAACAACTTTTAAAAGCCACAGACCAGACTGAACACCCCCACACCAGAACACAGTTTAGCATAAAGATTCATCTAAAACAAGCAGAACACCATCATTTCTGCTTAGCCCAGGATCCCAAATGGCAGTACTAAACTAAACAGTACTTAGAAGGACCTGGAATGCCAGAGACATTGAATACAACCTGATTGTAATAGTCATAGTCTAGCAGCAATATTCATTGGTAAGTTTGGGCTGACCTGATCTAAAATCACCCTTTCATATATGTTTTATGGTACGTCAATGGACAATCATTTAATATCCAGTGCACAACTCTAGGCATATAGTATATCATAAATTGTACTGCAATGGAAATATTGTTTTAAAAAATGGCTAAATAATGTTTAGGAAAATAAGAATTGTATTCTATTGTACAGCGCTGAGCAAACCCTTTGGCGCTATATAAACTCGTAGTAATAATAATAATAAGAATCAGTTTGATACCAAGCATGCCTATGTTATAATGTACATCAGTTGAATTGGTTACAATTCATTTAAGATCGTTATCATATTTGCTGTCTTCTGAATAACTGCCATTAAAGGATTGTCCATTGACGTACCATAAAACATTTCAACACCCCTCAGACCCTTTTGATTGGTTATGTCTTATCTGAAAATGCCTTCATCAGGGACAAGAATAGATGGTTGTATTTGCAGTTTGGGGCTCTAATTTTTCACCAAAATCATGTAATTTCTGAGGACTAGTACTTTGTCAGAATTCGACTAAATCTAAAGTGAATTGGATTCTGTACAAAAACCGACAAACCTTGCTATGTACTTTTCATGATTATTCTATTTATTTTACTGTTTTTATTATTTATTTTATAATATCTTTTCCTTAAATGCTTCTCTTGCATCGTTGTTTACCTATTCTTTCATAAAAAGAATATTTACAAATCATTAAGCTGAACTTATAGAAGATTCTCAAACCAGAAATGAAAGACTATATATTTATATTTTAGTCTTTAGTATATAACTATATTTTAATTTCGGTATTTTCCTGTCTGGGTTTGGCAGCGAATGTCACAGACATTTCTTAAAGTTCAGAATTACTACAGCAGATACTGTGATCTAAACTTGTTTCTCTTAAAACATTTGAGTCGGCTCCTGTTTGTATGTGTAAATGTACAGGTTCAACTGAGAACTCAGCTGACTCCAGTGAAGATCACTCTCCGTCTGTATGTGCTTAGATTGTTGCCCTGTGAGCTAGAAAACCTCTGCTTAGCATGCAATCGTTATATAGTTGTGCTCAAAAGTTTGCATGCCGTGGCAGAAATTGTAAAATTTTGGTATTCATATTGAAAATATGACTGATCATATGAAGCCATTTATTATCACATAGTTGTTTGGTTCCTTTTAAATTATAATGAAGACAGAAATCTCCCAACTGGCTCTGATCAAAAGTTTACATACCCTGGAATGTTTGGCCTAGGTACAGACACACAAAGTGACACACAGGTTAAATTGGCAATTTGGCAATTAAAGGTTAATTTCCCACACCTGTGGCTTTTTAAATTGCAATTAGTGTCTGTGTATAAACAGTGAATACGTTTGTTATCTCGCACATGGATGCACTGTGCAGGCTAGATACTGAGCCATAGGGAGCAGAAAAGAACTGTCAAAAGACCTGCATAACAAGGTAATGGAACTTTATGAAGATGGAAAAGGACATAACAATATATCCAAAGCCTTGAAAATGCCAGCCAGTACTGTTCAATCACTTATTAAGAAGTGGTAAATTTGAGGATCTCTTGATACCAAGCCAAAGTCAGGTAGACCAAGAAAGATTGCAGCCACAACTGCCAGAGGAATTGTTTGGGATACAAAGAAAAAAAACACAGGTAATCTCAAGAGATATAAAGGCTGTTTTGGAAAAAGACAGTGTGATTGGTACAAGAAGCACAATACGACAATACTTGAACAAAAATGAGCTGCATGGTTAAGTTGCCAGAAAGAAGCCTTTACTGCACCAATGCCACAAGAAAGCCTGGTTATAATATGCCCGACAACACCTTGACATGCCTCACAGCTTCTGACACACTGTAATCTGGAGTGATGAGACCAAAATATAGCTTTATGGTCACAACCATAAGAGCTATATTTGAAGAGGGGTCAACAAGAATAACATCACCACTGTTATGCATGGTGGTGGCTCACTGATATTTTGGAGGTGTGCAAACTCTGGGAATCTTGTGAAAATTGATGGCAAGATGAATGCAACATGTTATCAGAAAATACTGGCAGACAATTTGCATGGGACATCAGGGAGGATTAATCAAACACACTAAAGACATTGAGTTGGATAGATCATTTGGCCGCGGCCCTTTATTATTGGTTTTAAATATAGTGAAATAACTTATCAATAAATATATAAATAATAAAACATACTGTAGCCAGCCTAGTCACCACTGCTCAGGCTGCATAATACATCTAAAAGAACTTAAATAATTTCCCAAGCGACAGGAGGGACTAAACCCACCTGTCCTCATCAGCCTGCATAGCGGCCATCTCAATACAAGAATTCAAATCAGAGTTAAAAATATCCAACCCAATATCCGACAGATGAATTGCATCATTCCTATATAATCCGTGCAAGCCCCCTCCTAATTCTACATGTCTGAAAGACAACATACCCAAAGCCTTTAGTAATTTCTCAACCTCCCTGTTGACTCTTTTCCTAATTTTTCTAATGGGCGCAAAGAAGGAGTTTCAATCCACCTTTGTCTTGGCATCACTTCAGAAAAAACTATCACTGTATTCGGAAAAGACAACTGAAAATGGTGCAAATCATTTCAGATGTTAAAAAATTAAATCTACAGTAGTTTTACACTGCCCAATGTCATTGCCTCCCAAATGAACCCCCAATATGTCGGGGGGAGGCAAGAATTGAAGAAGCCTACTTATTTAAAAAAAGAGATCTGACCATACCATGCCTTTCCAAAAAAAATACTAAACTTCAGAGGGTCCAGACCCAAGCTGTCAGAGTATATGTTTCTCTTTGCTCTGGTCCGTGCCCAAAAGATGAATGACCAATAATCCAAACTATCTTGGTATTACCTGAAAATTCAAATGGAAAAATTAGGGTGAATATACAACAAGTAACTGTTGAACTTCCACCTACCCACTTTCTTAATGATACTATCATCCAAATCCAGTCTGGAAGCTTCCATAGCTGCCCCAATATGAAATGAGTGCAATGTCAGTTGAGCATTTTGTGAATTCAAAACTTCTAAGCAACGTTTAAAAACACTTAAACTGATATCTTGTAAGAGGAGTACCTTTTTTGTACACAAAAAAACCATTGACCTCCACTAATCCTCCACCAAATGGACCGAACATATGGCTGAGCCAGTACAGTCAGGATGATGTATCCATTTTCTTTTACCCAACTGGTCTGTTTTGGAATGATTAATAAAGATTCTAACCAAACTATGAGAAATAATCACATCAGAAGATCAGAGACCTGGAGTACCTGTTTTTGATGCAGGAACCATCTCCGAAATTCTGAGCGCACCAAAAAATTAAATTGAAAAAACAGCTTTAAATAAAATTACCTCAAAAGAAGAAAAACACACTTCATTAGTCACAGAACAAAGCCTAAAAATATTCGGTATAATAGGATCGGTTTGTCCCTCTGAAAATATTTCTCATAACCTAATGTCTGATTAATGGAGAAAAATTGCGGGAGGTAAATTGTGTAATTTTAGAAAAAAGTCTCTCTGAAAATTGCACCTTATCTCATAACCTAAACGCAGTCAATAAACATCAGTGCAAACAAACCAAACCAAACCACCCACAGATAACAGTACATACAAGCAAGCGTCGTCAGGCAAAAATTGGAGGTAAGCAGGGGGACAGAGAATGGTCGAGGTCACAGGGAGCAAGCAGCGTAAAGAGGTGTAACAGAAACAGGATAGAAAAAAGGGCCCAGGAAAACACACCAAGGCAGAGTCTGCCCATCCCTTAAATATTTTCCAGGTGTTATTAATATGAGGGAGCACCCGCTGGCCAGCCCTGGTAAAAAAAGGCAGGTTTTTCCATTCCTAACAAATAAAGACCAAGAAAAAAACCTTTTTCAAAAAAGAGTAGCAACACCAGCCCTTCTGAAAAGGAACAGTGAGGGACAGTTATTGTACTTAGAAAAGCAAGCCACAAAGACCAGGCCAGTTGATATCCAGCCCAAGTCGCAGGGGCCAACGAATGTTTAATGCTATCAGTAACCAAACCTAAAGCAGATCCCATAGATGTGAAGGACAATCTATTCCAACTCGATCCATTTCCAGACAGAAACGGTCCATCGGGAATCAAGACACAGAGTCCACCAGATCATTATCTTTACTCGCAATATGAATCGCTTTGATCCAAATGTTTAAACTGAAACATTTAAAGATCAAATAACGCAATAATGTAATGACTGGTGGAGTCTTAGATGTTAAACAATTGATTGTGTGTACTAAACACCCTTGTTATCATTTCTAATAAGTAATCATTTCTGAAAGCTGTGGCCCCATATTTTCAGTGCCACAACAATGGGAAACAATTCTAGTAACGTAATATTATGCAAATATCCGTTCGCCTGCCAATTGGAATTCCATCTGTCCACACACCAGTGAGTTTGCCATATAGCTGCAAAGCCACAAGAGCGGAATCAGTAAAAAGTAAAAATTCCTT